AGGCCATGACGTGATACGTGCAGGCTCGGTAGCGGAGGGCGGGTGGGTATGCTGGCATGGCGTGACGGCGTGGCGAGGCGGGCGTGCGTGACACGGCGGGCGTGACGCGGGGACGTGGCGCATGGTGGGGCCCCTTGCAGGAGGGCGCGGGCGGCGGGGGCTCGCAATGCAGAGCCCCTATTCGTCGGCGCTTCCCGCCAAGCAACGCCGTCACGCTCAGCCAGGTTTTCAAACCCGCACCGCGGCTCGCTCCCGAAAACGCCCCCGGCCGAACACGCCCCCGCCCAGCCCGTGAGAGTACACTCTCACACGCAGAAGCGCACGGAACGTCCTCGGTCCTTGAGAGAGAGCTGCCGTGTCAATTTTGCCGCGCGCTCCCGCTCCCGCGCTCGCACGGAACGTCCGCGGTCCCTTGCGCTGCCGTGTACCGCAAGCCCCCCCGCCCCCGCCCCCGCACGGAACGGCTGTCCTCGGTCCACCGGCGGCGACGATCCACCCCGCTTCTTCGTCGGCATTCGTCTGCAGGTATCCTCGCTCTGTGCGAGCAGAGACGCACTAACATGCTGATATGGCCACTATTCTTGGCGGCCATTTTGTTTACACAGCCGCACTTGGAAGGTAGGAAAAGCCTACGACGTAGTATTAACAGTCATGAAGAAGGGAAAACATTATCCTTGATGTCTGTCAACTATTGTACTGTACACGCGGATCAGGGCCGGTCCACCAGCATGCACAATATTGTACAGTATTTGGTGTGCACCTTGTTTGTATGCATAGCTCTATACCGTATAAATATAAGTCTAGCACAAGCCGCACCACATATCGATAGACAATATTTAGACCCCGTATCGAGAGACTGCCTACACAACCCGCACCACATATCGATAAAGAATATTTTGACCCCGCATCGAGAGACTGCCGACAACACAGACCGTTGGTGCAGACCATTGGTGCAGACCGTTGGTGCAGACCGTTGGTGCAGCAAAAGATTCAGGGCCCATCCCTGAATCGATTTTCGCAACAAGAAAGACAGAAGGTGGTAGAAAGTTTCTACTAGGAACCAAGTGTAGCAGCTATCGCCACCTGCCCAAAAGAATTGCCTTGGGAAAGAATGCTTTCACTGAAAAGCATGACCAAGCCAAAGCGGGACGGACAGACATGCCAATATTCTTTCAAAATATACTCATGGATCGCACGTGTACACGTATTGGGTCGGAAACAGACAACGGGCACAGTAATGCGCGAAAGCTGTTGGCAAAAACGGGAAGACATTTCGGTGATTTCCGGAGATTCCCTCGACATTGCTTACAGAGGAGCCATCATACGGCATTGGTGGAATTTCCACCAATGACGAGGAAGGGTCGATGACACGGGATGCTGTATCGAGCAAAGCCCAATTTGGGAATCGCCCGCGTCCCAAGCATATTTCCGCCCACCCCATGCTCATTGGACATTACAGAGGTGGGACTGGGGGTGTCACGCTCGTGCCTGGCGAACCTCAAACGTTGCCGTTTTGACTGTGCACACACGTGTGGATCGATGATGGTACAGAGACTTTTCAGTTGAATTTTTGAATTTTTCAAGTTGATATCCTTGTCAGGTTTTTTGAATTATCCATGATGAAGCCGGGCCTTTTATTTCTGGTCTGCTGCGTTTCCACGCAACGCCGCACGTATGATACCATTCCGAGCACGGTTCCGCCCACGGTTCTGCGCACGGTTCTCTAGCTTTTTGGTGGCGTCGTAAATATGACGAATAGGTCTGCCATTCCCACATAATGACACTGTAATGATCCATTTTTCAAACCTCTGCTGTTGCCATGTCTATGATGACCCAATCCGCTTTTGATCACTGTATCACTGACATGTCCACGTACGAGAAACGCGCATCATTCTCTCCGCGACGGCATCCCTCATGCGTCACCGTTTCTCCGCCGCAGCGATGTGCGCGCGAGGGAAGAAATGAGGATGCCTGTGAATGTGGCACTACTGTATGCACGTTCCTGTGCATGGGCCAGAGTGACCTGTACAATTCCCTTCCAGCACACTTTCTCCTCGCGTTCTCCTCGCGTTCTCCTCGCGTGCATTTCTGAGACCGAGCACGCTCCATGCTGCGACAAATAACATAGTGAAAGCCGCAGCAGATAAACACGATCGCTCTCGGGCGCTAGAGTAAACAGATAGCCCGCCCACCAGTCGAGAAGGACAGCGCCGAAATCACGCCTTGTCTTTCGGAACGCTCCGGGAGGGCCAACCACACCCGCTGCAAGTGTATGCGGTGTCAAGGATGCGGTGTCAAGGATGCGGTGTGCCGCAAGTGCCGAGATTGTGGAGCAGGAGAGGTTCAACACATGGAAACGTAGACGCAACAGCAGAGCAAGCGCAGGCCACACGCGGCCTTCGACACCAACGAAAAGGAGACTCGGGCGTCCATGACATTCACGTTCAGGCGGGGGGGGGGGATGGCAGCCGACGTCACGAAAAGGCGCGTCGTCCAATCGACCGGCGCCGTCGGACTCACCCTTCGCCCAAGTTCAGGGCGCGGCGCGGCGCGGCCGCTACTCGCGCGCAAAGTCGCAAACGCGGACCCCTTAATCTTCGTTATTTCCGCGCCGTTGTCATGCCTCATTCCGCGTCTCTCCGGCCGCGGCCCTGAAACCTGCATTACAGTCCGTCTTCCCGCCGCGCGCCTCGTTAGAGCGCCGAAACTGAGGCTACCCCAGCCGCCGCTTACAGCACCGACGACGAGCCGCCCGCGGCGCGCGCCTTCGGTTGGCGCAGCCCCCCCGCTCGTGTGCACATTTCAGGAATCCTCAAGCTGCCCGTCTCAGGGCACATGTCATGCGTCATCGCGTTGAGCCGCACGGCCAAAAGCATGAGCCCACCCTGCTCACCACCTTGATACTCACCGTTGCTCCAAACCTACCTTCGTCTAACCGTCACTCTCGCACGTGCTCCCACCGCACCGCTTCTTCTCTCCCCCCCCCCCCCCCCAC